AATATTACATGTTAATAACTTGATTGGAATTATAACCTTGAATTGACAGTTTGATACTTTGAAAATTTTGAGCCAGCCCTACCCCCAAGGGCTGTAGGGTGGGGCTCAAAGGAGTCAGTGTGCTAAAATTTCTTCATTTTCCTTGTTAAGAATCAGAGGTGCTAGTTTCAAATCCTTTTCAGTCTGAAATCTGTATGCTAGATATTGAGTAAGGTGGTTTTATTGTTTTTTGTCACTTTGAATAATATTTCTGTTCATGTTAAAAACAAAATCAACTCTCTGTATAAATATATCAGGTGACCGTTAAGGCCCATGGGCCTCTTGTTAATACCAAAGTTTGTCCACAGCATAATTTCTAAACCATTAAAGATATCTTAATCAAACTTGAAGTATACCTGCATCACTCGCATAAGGTGTGCAGTGCACTGGAATTAGGTATTGTGCGTCACTAAATACAGAGTTATGGCCCTTTGTTTAATTTTAATACCGAAATTTGTCCACGGCATAACTTCCATGTTATTAGGGCCCCGCATCGTAGATGGGGATGCCCTATACTAATTCATCTGTCCGTCTGTCACAATCAAACAAGGTGTCAACTGACCAAAGGTCAAGGTCACTGGGTCAAAGGTCAAGATCAAATTTTGTATCTTTTCCCTGATAAACATTTTGTTATGACATTATGAAGCAAAGTTGGTTGGAATTTAACAAAGAGTAAACTGACTTAAGGTCAAGGTCACTGGGTCAAAGGTTAAGGTCAAATTCAGTATCTTTTCACTGGGGAACATTTTGTTACGACACTTTGAAGCAAAGTTGGTTGGAATTAAACAAGGAGTCAGTTGACCAGAGGTCAAGGTCACTGGGTCAAAGGTGAAGGTTACATTTTGTATCTTTTCACTGGTGAACATTTTGTTTTGACGCTTTGAGCAATGTTGGTCAGAATTAAACAAGGAGTCTATTGACCAAAGGTCAAGGTCAAATTTTGTATCTTTTCCCTGATGAACATTTTGTTATGACATTATGAAGCGAAATTGGTCGGAATTGAAGAATGAGTCAACTGACCAGGTTACACTAGGTTAAAGGTCAAGGTCATTTGGGTCCAAAGGTCAAAGGCAAAGTGGATCGCTTACTTTGACCCTGGCTCTTGATGGGGGAGGTATTTAAGGTGAAATAAAACAAATCAAAGCCAACAAATGAGTATTGCACCGGTATTTACATTTCTGTTAGCCCAGCAAATATGGAAGTGGAAGGAAACAAGACTCACATCATAGTACATGTAAAATGTATATTTTGCTTCTTTGCAAGTTTTTTTGAAGTCCAAATGTCAAACGTCAAGCTCAGCTATATGGGCAGATTGCTTCTTGATGATTATGGGGGATATATTGCCATAAGACGTGGCCCTTACTGACTTGTCAGTGTTCTAGTTTCACCTACGATGACCAAACTTGTTAAAGTTTTAATGTATCTTGGGAAGTAGGAGTGTCGAATTCAAAATTCGAGTCTCGTGCCCCACTATATAAAGCGATCTGGACCTTTGCTGATTTTATATACCAGAGTTTTTCTATTGGCTAATAAGGGGAGACATATGTTGTTGTTCACAAAAACAAAATTCTAGTTTTTCTTTCAAATACAAAGAAACTATTCCAACTAAAAAACAATATTCATCTCAAAAATGTGCACAATGAAACTTAAACCGTTGTCTAGAAGTACTGTGGAGTGTACCATGTAGGTTTCTGTGGCTGTAAATACATCAGATTTCATTGTGACAGGGCTGTTATCTAGAAGTACTGTGGAGTGTACCATGTAGGTTTTTGTGGCTGTAAGTATATCAGATTTTATTGTGACAGGGCCGCTGTCTAGAAGTACTGTGGAGTGTACCATGTAGGTTTCTGTGGCTGTAAATGCATCAGATTTCATTGTGACAGGGCCATTGCCTAGAAGTACTGTGGAGTGTACCATGTAGGTTTCTGTGGTCGTAAATACATCAGATATCATTGTGACAGGGCCATTGTCTAGAAGTACTGTGGAGTGTACCATGTAGGTTTCTGTGGCTGTGAATACATCAGATTACAGTGTTAAGGACTTGTGTCTAGAAGTACCCTACCAGAGTGTGACATGGGAGGACTTATCACCTTGTCTACATCTCCTTTTATTTCTCTTTTGGGTCCTGTAAACTGTTGTATTGGTCTAACACTGCAGGTCAGACATGATTTCTTTCCTTATGATACATATGAACCTTTTGAGTGCGAGTATAATATTCGTAGCAGTACAAACTTTGTTGTTACCAAGACTACTCCTATGTATACCTTGCTATACCAAACCGGATGAAGAATAGCATCTTACGTGTTATAATCAAATTTGAAATGTTACCTTTTGCGGACTGGCTGTAACTCTTTGGCTACATTGCTCCAGTGCAACATTAGGTAACTTTGGGACAATTTGGTGTCGCCACCCGTAAACTTGAGCTGGTTGTAACTCTTTGGTTACATTGCTCCGGCTCGGTATTGGGTTAGGACATATATAGTAATGTCTAAAACTGTTATATCTCATTATAGATGTTATGTAATATTATTACATATTTACAATTTTTTGAAGGGGTATTTTTTATATTAGAAATTAGTTATCAAATTTCTATTGAAAACAGGCCAAACTTAGGTGTATTATGATAGTAATATAGCAGAGTGCCCCCCCAAAAAAATAAAAAAAATAATAGAATGAAATAGGTTAATATGAGTTATGTATGTTGCATAATCCAAATTTTTGGTCTTATTATATACATATGCATATATAGCTAATGGTGAGCAGTACCTCTATGCATCTCCATTGAATATGAGATGTGATGGTCTTGGATTGTTACAGTATCATGTTACCACTTGTTCTACATATTTGACTCGTTGTCGGGTGTCATTTATAGTTAAAGGTCACCCGGTACATATATGCAGGCATGGTGTAAGAATTACCACATTTATCCTGCAATAAGCCCAAGTAGTTTTACACAACCCCGGCTCAAGCAGGAGATGTACATACATGTACGGAAGGACAATGCTACAATATCTGTTGCTTTCTACTCATGGGCTTATTGCCAG